CACACACACACACACACACACACACACACACACACACACACACACACACACACACACACACACACACACACACTATAACATACAGATGATAAACAGTAAACAAGAATTAGCTGAATCTGCTTAAAAATTGTCTCTCTGCTGCTGCAAAGTAAAACAAAAGATGCAACAAGTTGACTGGATGTTCATCATTTCATCTAATCACAAACTGAAGCCTAAGATAAAAAAGAATTTAAAAAACCTCAGTTCAGGATGTTCCCATTAGAAAAGTGGGCTGGGTAATGTGGTCGTGTGCCTGGCACAATGTAAAATAATGCAACAGTAACGCTCCCCCCACAAACACAGACCTCTGAGCCACAGTAATTGATTTGCCTTCAATCACTTCTTCTTTAATCTACTTACTGTTGCAACCAAGTCAACGCAYACATCAATAGAGAGGAGGAGGTCTGGCTGACTAAACAAGAGCTCTGCTGCTTCGCTACAGGCACAATGATGAGTCTATGCCCAGTTAAATGCTGTACAGATACATGCAGAATGTGGACTTTTCACTCAAGGAACACTGAAAGATTTCCAGTTTGACTAATTATGAAGATGTTTTCTTGAACTGTAAATAAGATAAAAAGCCTCCATATTGTCCACTTTGTCAGGATTTGTGTGCTCAACCAGAAAAACAACAACATAAAGGGTCCCTGATGCTACTGGTCAAATATTACTCTATTATGCTAACTCTGTTCACTGGAGTATAAAAATACTCAAGTACTGAAAGATTTTTGATAATTAAGTGACTACTTAAGGAGCTGTAATCTAAGGTTTGGGGGAAGCATTGCATACAGAGCTTTTTAGTTATTTGTAACATTTGTACTAGTACACTGAACTGAAAATGATATTTGTTACAATAAACTAGAAACTTTTTTGTAAAAAAAAACAATTTAACAAACTTTATTTGGTAGAAATCCATTAACAGAACAAAGACTAAAACTCTTTAACGTAGGTCTTAAATGTACAGAAGCCAAGAGAAGCAGTTTTCTGCATATAATTTTTACATAATATGGTTTTCTCATAATAATRACATTTTAGAATTATTTTTCTCCTCTTTGCAACCGGTTTAAAGCTACATATCACCACCTACTGTATAGGGGTGTTGTGTGTAATTTTACAGTGTGTCAGTGGAACACAATGGACACAAAATAACACAATTAGTAGCTAAAGTGACCTGATGCATCTCATTGGTTCAGGTAGAAAAATCTAAAAAAAATGAAACAAAATAAAAATTGAGTAGGTCCTTTGGATGGGTTGGATGTTCTCATCCTTGTGAGAGAGGAACATCGGTTTGAGAGGAGTTTGTGATGAGAAACCACCTGTTTTTAAACAGGGGTGGAGGTCTCTGTGTCCATTTGTCCTCGTCTTACAACGCTGTTATTGCAGGTTTGACTCAGTGTGAACAACAGGCAGCCACCAGGGCCCTAACGAAAGCTGAGTGGCCTCTTTTGAATGTGAACAGTTTTGATTGTGTCACCGTTAAACTTGTTTGGTTACCATGTAAAGGTACTTTTTATAAGGCTGAGTTTACCTGTCACTCCTCTCTTCTCTTAAATTTATTTATTTAATCAGGACAGTGCACATTAATGAACAATCTTATACTTCTGTATAGAAAGTGAATGAGCCAGATTATAGCACAGTTGTCTGTAGTCCTGAGACAGAAAGACAAAACAACACAAGATATTCAGGAAAAGAAGAAAACAGATGAACTCGACCAGAGGACCTACTCAACTGTTTTTTAAGATCGTAGCTAAAGCCTTTAAAGAAATATAGTGGAGTGAAATGTACGATTTTGGTGTTAAAATTTAGTGAAGGGAAAATCAAAAAATGTTACTCAAGTAAAGTATACATTTTCAAAAAACCGTGTTAAAAGTACAGTACTCAAGTAAATGTATTCCGTTACTGTCCACCTCTGGTCTAAGACAAAAATATAAATAAAAGAGCTGGAAAAAAAGGTATATTGAATGAAAACATCAAAGAAATAAGAGTAAATGCACACAATCTAATATACTTCAGCCACTTCATTGGTCCCTCACAGTAAACTGTCACTCTCCCTCCTGGACTTCATGAGACTGAATCAACGTGAAGCAAAGTGGAGAACTTCTTCATCACTTCGAATTGGGGCAACGTTTGTTGTTTCCAAACTGAATTTGAGGTTTTGTATTTTTCATTTCGCTCCAGACAAATCAAATCACTCGACTGTCGCTGTACTTTTCGCTGTCGGGCACGCACAGCCGAAAGGTGCTGACAAATGGATTTCTGTGTGTCTTGTTGAATAAATAGACAAAAAGAAATCCAAATGAGTGGAGCTGACAAGCAGATAAAATTACAAACTTGATGAGATTTCTTTGGAAAGTTTGTTGATGTAGTAGGGTGTCCACATATAATGGCAAATATACAGCCTGGTAATAAGACAAATGAAAGAAAAGGAAGAAAAAAAGAGACCTGCAACAAACCTAAAGCGTTAAAACTTTTGGAGGTCTTATCTCGGAGGAACAGCTGCGAAGGCCCGGCTGGAGCAGAGCAGGAGTTTGGAGCTGTTTTATCATTGAACCCATGGTACCGGCTCTGAGGGGGAGGAGGTGTAGACACTAGATCTGAGCCTCAGATTGCCGGTCCGTCAGCAGTGACCTTCCCTCTCTTTATCCTGGCTGAATCGCAGCATTACAATATTACCTTACATTATTACATTTTAGCCAGACTGGAGCTGCTTCGTGCTGGAGCTCTGGGGTTTGCAGGACGTGAACCAGTTTCAGATATCAGTATCCAAACGGCACAGGTCACAGTGTTGGGAATCAAATACTGAAAAAGTCCCAATATGTTGTTGGAAGTAATGGTTTATTTTTGTGTTTCGCAACATGTTAAGAAGCAGAGTAAGTCATCTATTACTGATCATTTTATAAAAATGAGGATCCCAGTTAAACCTCAGATTAGCTGGTTTTATCAATTCAGTCAGTAAAATAAGAGTAAAACTGCATGTAGGTGACACAAACAGGAAGGCAACCAGAGAAATGTAATAAAAGCTTTTACAGCAGCCGTCGATTAGGCAGCTTTTAGGGGTGTGTAAATCTGATCAGTGCCTCCATAACAACCTGAAGAATAAAACCTGTGTGACTATTACCGGTGTCTGAATCTGCACATTTCAAGTATTTTAAAGTAAATACTGTGAATGAAGTCAACAAAAATGAGAACCTTTCCTCATATTTTCCATTTTAAATACACATAAACAAAATTCTTGTTCTGTAAACCAATTAACTTAAAGAAAAGAAAACATGTGCAGCATTAAGGCATGAAAACCTCTTTTTTAACGATAAGAAATCTGAATGATTTGAGTTGTTTTAAAGCAGGGTATGGGGATCCAAGTGTAAATATAATTAAATATATGTATACATAACAATAAAATGTTAAAAAAGTTACATTTTCATTATTTAGCTCAATTTGAGTGTAAAATCTTAGTTAAAAAAACATTTGCTAGTTTATACTGAATGTTAAGTTTAAATGTTAAATGAAATACTAAGTCTAGCCTTTAACCAGAATGATGTCATCATCCTGCGACAGATGTCAACCTTTTTTCCCCTAGACAGACATCAACTCTAACCACTGCTAACGCCTCTAACGCTGCGGAAGATAGCATTTAAAAATTTAATTCAATGTGCTCATTGAAAATATTGCAGGAAAGCATTAGCAACATTAGCAACGTTAGCAGTGTTAGCGGTTGCTATCGTCTCAGGATGATGACGTCCTAAGAAGAGCCGAGTGCAAACAGCAAAGGCTGCGTTACATTCCGAAATACATTAATGTAAACATCAACATTTAGCCATAACGTTTAAGATTTAACTTTTACATTTAGATTGAGGATTTAATATTTACATTTATTGTTTAATTTAACCTTAGTAAAATTAGCTAAAAGTAAGAACAGTGAGCTATAATAGTGATTTTTTTTTTACTTTTTGTTTTACACTTGGCACCCCATAGTTGGGCAGCTCTAGCATGAAGTGAATTCCAGACTTCATTATTTTCTGAGTGGCTGTGCGCCAGCTGCAGTGAACCGATGAACGTCATATTTTCTAAAGGAACACTTTGGAACTGGGAGGATCTGCCTGAAGGCATCTGACAATGAGAACTCTGATAAACAACTACCAGAATGCTTGCTCAATATTATTGGTACCAGATATTTGTTTTAAAATCTTGTGCTACAAAAAGAGAGGACACGGAGAGTGAAGAAAGAGGCAGAGAGGAGAAGATGTGAGGAAAAGCAGAGGCRTGCGGGTGATGATAGATCATGACTAAGCATTATATTGCTGACTGTGAGTGAAGCCATCTATCAGGTGACCTGCGGTTCCTGTCTGCTCTTCATTCAGTGCCGCTTTCTCTCGCTACATTTCATCACCTTAATGAAGACGGAACACACCGGCTGAACATTGCTTACCAACAGTCTGCTATTAATATTAATCTGCTCAAAACTGAGTACAGACGCAGCTTTAACTAATAAATCCCAATAAATGAACAGAGTACAGTGTAAATGACTGGCAGAGTTAGGGACGAGCACGATGTGAGACCATTTGTGATCCGTCACACCAAACTGAGGATTTAGTCAAATTTGGTCAAACTGAYCTGAGCACATTTACAAATTCTTGCTTTTTGAGACATTTTGATACTTAGACCATCCTGATGTCATGAGCAATTCCAGAGATTTGACTTGATTTGTCTTCCTAATCAGGATAACTGATTGATATTTGGATTTGAATCCTGTTTTTAGGTTATTCTAATGAGAGATTTTTGACGTTATTATAAAGAGGAAACCTTAAATAGTATTTGAATATTGAGATTTATCAGATGGAAAGAAAAACACTTTGCTAAAGGCCCTGTCACACAAGACAAATTTTGCCTACTTGTGAACAGTTTAAAGATGTCTATTGAAGATGGAATTGAAAAAAAATCAACAGGAAGCTTCTTTGCAGTGTGTACATAATGTAATTTGAACAAATTGATCAAACATATAACTTTTATTAGCAATTTAGACATAAAAATGTTTCATAAGTTGGCATAAGTCGTCTAGTGTGACAGGGCCTTAACATGCTGGGAAAATGTAAAAAAGAATTATGGCTTTTTTTGCTTGACATGTTTTTTGTTGCTACTGCACAAAAAGTGCGTCAAAAAATTAAAGATCACATTTCAGATGTTTCATTTAAATGATTTATTATAATTTTAACCAAATCATTATACCTGCCTATTCCTCCACATACCACAGGTCACATTTACCCACAAAAACTTCATTTTTTGTGGTCTCAAACAAACCTTTACTGGACTATTAGTAGGAAACAAATGCATGGACTTTAAATGTATTTACGACTGTACAGATAAGTACTTCATCAGACAGTTTATAGGTTATGGTCACTCATAGGAGCAAATGGAGCTAAATTTCTTTTAAAGTGCTTGTGAGTCAGTCAAAGAAAACATTTATATAAAAAAACTTGGCATAACACACAATTTCATCCATTTTGTCACATAACTGGCATATTTTGTTTTGAGCTGGGCTCAGCCAAAGTGAAACAGGAAGTGACATCAAAGGGAAACTCTAAGAAAGAAAACTCTCTGGTCTTTGTCTACTGAAATATTTGAATTCTGACTCCTCTCTGATAGTGACTCAAAATGATTTAAACATTAGATTCTTCTCTATAGTCTTGTTTTGTTAGTTGTACGTACCAATGCTCTGTTCACATGGAGACATTCCCCTGTGACATCACTTCCTGTCACTTCATGTTAAAATATCTCAACAACCGTTTTTCTCAGCGGTGTAACTTTTGCTCTGCAATATTTTATCCATGTTATCTTTCCAAAAATACTTCCATATTTATTACAAAAAATTGATGTCACAGGCACTTTAAGTTTACTCTGAAATAATTTTCCACAAGTTCATTTATTAAGGTTTTAGCTAATTGAAAAAGACAAGATATTTGTTTGGGTTTGAACATGTTAGCCTTATGTAATAAAACTCTAGAGCCATGGTTTTGATCCAGAAGTTTGAGGTCTGTTTTAGACAGCACGCTGCCCTGTTTTCTCCTGATGATGTTCATATAAACATAGGTTTAAGCCTGGTCATCCCAGATACGTTGTTCAGCTGACAGCTCTCTGTAAAACAAATCCTGTCCTCTGACCCAACGGGACCGACTGTAGAATGAGAAGAGAGGATTTTAAATACAGTACCCAGATTAGAAGTACTTACTGTAGGGCAAACGCTCCCTGCAGGCACATGTAAACATGCAGTACATTATCCACACCATACTCACATTTTAATTTGTAAATTTTCTTTACAAAGATGAGAAACTCCAGTCAACTGTATAAGGCTTGTTCAAACAGGACAGGAATGAAAGGCGAATGCAGGATGTGGTGAGAGGAGATGAAAGGAGGAGAGTGAGGGGAGAGAAGTCTGCAGGGACAAAAGAAAAACCCGACGACCGTGCATATTGTCTCTGCCGTCACCGAGCAGGACAGTTTGATGCATGGCGCTGCTGGACCAAGGACACTACGGCAAATGCATAAAGCCAGGCATATCTGCATATCAATTATTCGTGGCCGCCGTAGATATTGCTTAATGAAACTGTCCGAGTCTGCCAGAGTGTATAAACTGAGCCTCAAGCTCGGGCTGCAGCTGGTTCCTGCTGGCAAACACTGAACGCGTCCAGGTGGAGGGTGCAGCTGCGACGGACCTGTTCTGACTGGAATGTAGGAAGAACGAGAGTAAAGCGACAAGTTTTTAGTCTCGTGTCGTAAACTTACATCAGCTGCACAGACGGGGTTTTTGGGGGGATACACTCATTCATCTTCAACTCCACAGAGTGAACAGATGGTTAATATTATACCTTTATATTAAAATCGCTCTTTCTATATTCAGAAAGTCATGTTTCAGGTTCTGTCTGCAGATCAAAGCCATCAGATCGTCACGGTTCGTTCTGCACACAGATGCTCCGCTGCTGTCGGCGGCTAATTCAGCTGCAACCACATTACCCCCCCCCCCCCCCCACACACACACACACACACACACTTAATAAGGTTTACTGAATGTCTGTCTTTCCAAGCTTCACCCTCCTTCACCAATACAAACAAACTAATGGAGTATGAAGCAAGCTATGGCTCCCATTACATCTCTGCCTTTGCTTTTCACAGTGTGCTCAGGTTAATGAATGAGTGCATGTGACTGCGTGCACAGATGTTAAGGACCACCATTTCCTCTTTAATTTTTATGCAACCTCCTGACCAACAAATAGTTCAAACATTATGTGCATGTAAGCGTAAGCGAGGGAGGTTTCCGTCTCATAAAACCAAACAAGCATTTGTGGGCTTTAAGCTACACAGCAGTGTTTGTGTGCATGCATACAGCATGTAGGTGTGATCTTTATTATGACCCCCACATGTGAAGCGGGGGTCATTCTGTTTTCGTACTGTTTATTTATTTTATATTATAACATTTTTTCCCAGAGGTCAACCTGCACCATCAGCGTGAAATTTGGCAGGAATGTAGATGTGTCTGACCTACACTGCGCCACCCAAAAGTTTTACAATAGACCCCATATGTAAGGAGGGGGCTCCATCTAAAATGAGGGTGTCTGGACATACAAAAATGCTTATAGCTTAAAAACTATTCAACATAGTAGCTTCAGATTTTTTTATTTTTATTTATTTATTTATTTTTGTTGCTTATCTCTCATGAAGGGCTATCCATCAGGCCCACTAATGAGAACCCCTGAGTTCTGGTTGCATTGGTGCTTTGCACATGTGTGGGGGTCATATATGTGATATCTAGTTTTGTCTGAGTTAGGAAAAAGTTGTTCTCAATAAAAGGTCTGAAAAGCAGCAGATAGGTCGAGGCTGTACAGGCCATTTGTTCTTCCTGTCGCTTTTGATATTGACAATGAAGTTTATAATCAATATRTTTTGTGAAATTACTTTTCAGAGTACCGGTAATCTTCAGAAACATTAAATGTTCATATAAATCAACAACATAAGGCAAAACCATATAATCTTTAATTCAATGTTACGTTATACACAATACRTTCACTGACGAACAAAAAAATAACATGTATATATACATAAACTTACTGGTATTGTACACAAATTAAAATAAAAATGTATTACATTGTTTGATTTTCAAAATAAAATTCCCATACCAACTTTATAATTTTGAGACAGCACTCTGAACCATTTCTACACTGTCCTTAAAAAAACAACAAAAATAAAAAATTGAACTTTCAGCACACCCATCTGAAAACACAACCTTAATTTTTGTATTTTTTTTTACTTAACTGTTATAAAATGGCTGTGATCTCACTAATATTTAACATTCAAACTAACTTATTTATATTAAAACAAATATTCAGTTCTTGCAAAAATATTCCAAGTAAGATACGTACTTTCAGCGTGACGCTATTGTAACAGCTACCTATTCAGGGCTGTGGTGATTTTATTATCACGATTTCAAAGTTGTTGAGCCTACCTGGCTCCAAAAACAGGAAATATGATACTTGGCTTTCGCAGGTAGAGAGAGGACACCGGAGGACCTGGGAAAAAATAGAAAAATAAACAAATTATTTACTGAAATACAGTAAGTTGAAAGAATGTCAGAATTCTACAAGCAGAGTTATAACCAAGTAAAAGGTCAAAATATAAACCAGCAAACTGTGCCGTCCGAACGTCCATTTTAAAATCCACACTCGAGCATTTTCTCCAATATATCAGGAACTAGTTCTAGTTTCTATCTTTGTCTATATAGCTGGAAACTATAACATTACAAAGACTTCCACAAAGAATGATTTTGTAGATCAATCAGCCTCGATTCAGCCCCCCACTCACACAAACGGAGGAGCAGCAGTGTATCGATATCAGGGTAAAAGCAATGAAAGCAGCTTGTTGGGTCAAATAKCTCTGGTAACAGGTCTAATTGGATCTGTGTCAGGTTCTCACTGCAGGTACATCCACCACTGCAGGCAGCAGGACGGAAATCAATACGCCCTTTCTGCATCCATGAACACGTTCTATTTTCATTGAAGGCTTTCCCCCCATATGTGAAGTGTGAATTAATGCGTGAGCAGGTTAATAAAGGTCAGACGTGAGTGTGTGTAGGAATACGCATTTAAGTCTAATTTAGTCTTCACACTTGACTATAAAAAAATATTTATTTCCAATACTCTACTTACTGAGTATTAAAAACTAAAATCTGTGCATTGTACCTTCAGAGGAGTCCTGAATCTGTCCCAGGTGAGGAGTGTGGAGGCTCAGCAACTTCAAGATGGAAGATGGTCGGAGTGATGAGTCGTCATTTTCTCCTGTAGGCTGAGCGTCCTCCTGTGGACAGCAGGAGGTGGGGTCTGAGCTGGATGGAGCTGGTGGAGGACTCATAATCTCACTTTTCTTTAAAAGGAACATCAAACGAAAGGTAGTTTTTAAATGTCACAGTAAAGTTCTTTACAAACACTCAAACACAAATTATATATAAATAAATACATTTCTTTACTTTAGGTTCTTCTTTACAGAGTGGAGGGGTTTTTCTGGCCTGGATCAGATCTGGAGGTGCAAGTGGGGTCGAGGCTGAACTTGTTGAAGCTTTAATCTGTTCACCACAGCTGAGGGTTTGCTTATCTGCTAGAGTAATGAATGGGTTGGCATTCATACCCTGAAAAATACAAATCAGTTTTTATGTTTCCATCTATTTATTTACAAGATCAAGCTATTTAAATTAGAAAAAAAATCATAAAAAAACACAAGAACTCCTTTTTTGTCTCCTTTCATTAATCATTCTCAATCTTGGGACAACCAAGAATAAAACGGCGAACAGAAAAACAAAGTGTAGAATTAAAAGTTTAAAATATTGAGAACACTTAATTAAAGCAGCAAAAAAATCTACCTGAAAAGGAGCATTGACTTCCCTCTCCTCAATAAGCTCCAGGCCAGGTGGCTCTTCCTCTTCAATCTGAGACAAAAATAAACTTTTCAGTTACTTTTATTATTTAAAAATCTAATAAAAGGCTTTTACAATGTTATAAGGCTTTCTGCTGTGTAAAAGCTTTTAAACTGAAAAGGTAAAATGTCTAACTGTAGAAACAAAGTCCAGCTGCCTTTGCCTGCTCAATATTTTAATCCTTACCAAATAATTTAAAGAGTAACTTACCCCCAAATTAACTTTTGTTAGCTGATAAACTGTCTACAATGTGTCTAAAATGTTATATAGTACTGTTT